ATCAAAGTGATGCAGTAAAGCTTGTTCGTGAACCGCTCGATGTTGTTTGTTCCAGGAGAAGATAAAGCTCTTTCTACCATCAAGATACTCACTGCCGAACTGTGAAGAGACTTTCCTCTTCGCCCAACTTGAAATAACCTCTCGATTCTCTTCCTTGTCGTCTTTGTAGTTATCATCTCCCCCGATGACGGTGATAACATCTCCTCCTGTGGATCGAGCAGATGAAAATGTAAATAAGTGCAGCATTATTACACACTTCTGGTGACCAGATTTTACATATGGAAGAATATCCTTGATTGACTAGGCGCAATCAACATGTCGACAGGAAGTTGCTACCTGCGTAGAATGTGCATACTCCATTTTCAATATGACGATGAAAGCGAGAGAAATCGGCAGATTTTGACTGAACATTCCCAAGAAGTTAGGCCGTTCCTTTTTCCTCTCACCGTTGGTAAATATAATTTTATTTGTTGAGAATGTATAAAGTATTTTTGTTACGTATTTGTTGCGTATTCTATGATTCTCAAGGACAAACGTAAGCAACGTTTTTTAGTATGTAATTTGAGACCAGTTTTCGAGAATATCAAATTTGATTTACGTCCAAGTTTGGAGCCTTTCGAAGATTTGGATGGCCGCTTTGATCCTCCTTCAAAAGCACTGACCAAACGCTCTCTAACGGTACATGCGTTTCTTGCATTTTAAGTGTTAGTGTTTGAGACCGATTATAACCGAGAAAAGGGCACAGGGTAAAATATGGACTGTATTTTTTTTTGGACCATTTTTTGGACCAGCTTTTGGACCATTTTTTGGACCAGTTTTTGGACCATTATTTGGAGATATTTATAAGGGGGGGGGGAAGCACACCATTAGTACTCAGGAAGAGGTAGGATGAAGTCTATCAGTACTGAGGGAGGAGTGGGAGGTAGAGTGTTATTACTCAGGGAGGGGTGAGAGACGGACTATTACTATGCAGGGAGGGCTGGGAGGTGATGGTAATAGTAAACACTACTGGTTAATGGAGCTTTTACTCGATCGTACAAATTACTTTAATAGGTTTTTCAACTGACGTCCTGTATGCGTTGGGCGGCGGTGTTTTTTCATTTTTCTGTCACGCGAAAGCGAAACTGCCAAGTAAACACTGGACTTTAATTTTTGAAAATATCGCGTTTACGATCCTCCACTGTTGACGGTTATGCGTGTGCCTTTTGAGGCGACTTGTGCACCATCAGTTGCTTCAAGTTTCCCTTTGTGTGCACAGTATTTAATTACTTAATTTATCTATCATCCTTTTGTCATTGCTCTTATCAGACGAGATCACGGAATTTCCGGTCCTTAGCCTTTAACTTAGCGGCATATAGAATTCACAGGCACTATCGCAATTTAACGTTTAGAACTTTACTTTATAAAATCCTCAGCAAACGATTTCGAAGGGGAATCCATATTCTCGAATCGAGCAAAAACACTGTTGTACTTGCAATATGAGAAAGCGCAAATCTCGATTTTATCTGTTTCGCAAACAAAGGAGTTAATCACCGGCACCGGAAATCGCGACTAGGTATTGCTCGCGTCTCCCCTAGGTTTGTTCAGTTTCCAATTTGCCCTGGCCGCTGCCAATCACTTCTTGCGTAAAAACCCACGAAACCTGCGAAGTGGAACTATGGTGGCTACTGTTGCTTGCAGATATTCTCCGTCGGCAAAACGTAGTCATGCTAACCCGTGAGTATCATTTAGCACTGGCACAAGTCAACCTTACAGGCACACGCACACGCACACGCACAAAAAGTCAGTCGAAAAACCGATTAAATTAATTTGTACGATCGAATGATAGCTCCATTAACCAAAAGTGTTTACACTGTTCCCTGCGTAGTAATAGTCCGTCTCTCACCCCTCCCTGAGTAACACTGTGCCTCCCACCCCTCCCTGAGTAACACTGTGCCTCCCACCCCTCCCTCAGAGCTGATAGACTGCATCCCACCCCTCTCTGAGTACTAATAATGTGCTCCCCCCCTTATAAAATGGTCCAGAAAATGGTCCAAAAAAATGCTTCAAAATATAGTCCAGTCTATATTTTACCCTAAGCCCGAGAAAAGGCCTATTGTTGCGTTACACAGTGTTACTATTGTATACTCAATTGTATTGTAAATCTACTTTCCTAGGTAAAAGGGAATTCACTAATGGCGAGTGTTGTATGGTAAATCTACTTTCTGGATCATTGAATAAAGGACAGTTTAATTAGAGCAATAAAAAGAGTCATTTCACCACTGAAAAACTCTTTATTGCGCACGGCGACACGCCGGGTAAGCCGGAAAGCAAAACTGAGGCAGTCGATTGTTAAAAGGCTTCTGCGACTCCTGCCATTCGCTTGCACTTTTAAATCTTCTGACCTGAAAACTTAGCTGTTATAAAGATATCTTTTAATGACTTTCCTTTGCGACGTGATGATAAGGGTTAGTTTCCTGTCATTTCCCTCTCTGTATGTTCTTGAGGTTTGGCAAAGCCGGATGAGATCGTGTTACAAAAGGTAATATTTTCATACTGTCTCTCCCGCAGAAGATAACTTCAGAGATACGGTTTTCAAAACCTTATTCTGAGTATTCTCTATTCTTTTAAGCATATTTGAAAATCTGCACGTTTTTTTATTAAACGTTAAGCGTGACGAATTTTGGCTTCTCCTTTCGCGAATTCCATATTTACGCCTTTAAGTGCATGACATGAAAAATAGTTCGTGTACTAGAAGGTTGCTATCTCTGTAATTCGTTTGCATGTCAAGGGTCGATTCCCTGTTAAATAACTCGCGAATTTGATATTGTTCACTCAGCCATCGGCTGTGAGTGTGACTGCTGCCAAATGAATAGATTAGTGGGCAAGTCTGCAGTTTCGATTCTTTCTGAATCTCTTCAGTTGCCTCCTAGCAACGAATTTGTCACGGAGGAGTAACAGGAGTCGCGCAGAAAGTGAATCCTCATTACACTCCACGATTATTCACGCTATCTTGCTGCCACCAAAGATGCTCACTCGACCGCGACAGGATGCAAATGACTCACTTTTCGTTTTACGACCATGATGCAACGCAATCAGAGTGCGCACACCGCCTGAATCAGAAAGGTCGGACAGCTAATAAAAACAAACTTCGATTATTGCCCTGACGCCGTTACATAAAACCATTGTTCGCTGTTAGCCACTCTACAGGGTTGCCGTGGAACGTGATTTAACAGAAGCTATCAATTTATGATAATCTACTTTCGCTTTCAAGATTGGGTGTCTAATGGGCTTTTGTTGTGGAACACCATAGTACATCGCTTTTTTACTAAAATTTTACAAAGTTACCGCTGCCTTTCCTGAAGAGAATTTTAGGTGCCAGACGAAGCGTTATCGAGCAATATTAAATGTGTTTTAAACGAGGAAAGTTAATGTGAGTTTAAATAATATGTTTAATCTGGCAGCAACATGTACGTTTATCTTCATCAGTATTTACTCAACTTGAACGTGTTGTATCCAGATAAAAAATGCAAATAATTTACCTATTTCCGGACCAAAGAGGAGGAATGGTTATAGACTTAAAGCTACTGAAATTTCAAAAGGCAAGATCAACCCCCTTTAGCCGAAAAGCCTTCGCCTTAGAGAACAAAACAGAAAATTCAGATAGCAAACTCACTCTGAGTGTTCAAGACTCTGACTCAGCTGCATAAAAGAAGTCTTCACATTTTGCCACTTCGAGGAGCAACCGTCGACCTTAATCTATGATTATTTACTTTCGCTTTCACGTCTGATGTCTAACGAGCTATTGCTTAGGAAATATAGAAAAGGTTTGCACTAAGTCCCCACTACCTTTCTCAAAAATAGCCCAGCTTGCCCAAAAATCCGCGATTAAGAGCAATGAAATGCGTTCGAAAAGATGACTGAGTAAAATACTTCCGCTGCTTACCCGTCGCCTTTAGTAAAGCTCTGTATATCTTGGCGTAACCAATTCCAGCGTTGTCTTCGTTGATCGAGAGCCGAGATTCATGCGCATGAACCACGAAAAAGGCCATATCCATCTCTAAGGTTGGAATTTTTTCTACCATTTCAGACATTTCGGGGAGTCTGAACGAGTGCTTCTCAACATGGATGCTGGTCAATTGGTCAAGCAATTTCTCGACAGGCTCTAGTTTGTACGTATTATCACAGTTAAAAAGGTGAACTCGCTTTCTCAATTGCGACATCTTCTATCTATGATTTTTTTTGTCTCTTTGAACGTAGCAGTTCTATAGTCGTTGAAGAATAAGTCTGAATTTTCAAAATCGCCTAGAGAGGAAGACGACTGCTTGCGCAATGTTTCCGAGAAAGCCAGTCACTTATCTGATTGAGATGAGTCACGCAATCCCCACACAATATATACTGATTGGAACACTAGAAACCCATGATGGGTCCTAAAAAATTTATTCTCTCACAGAAATACAGCTGTTTCCGACAATCGATAAAACCGGACCTTATAACACAAAAAACTTTCGCTTTTAAGTCTACAAACAGTATGTCTCGTAGCTATAAGCTTTCATTGCTGCTCAGTAAGGTGAGAGAATTACTGCAATTTTTTTGTTATTAAGTTATAGGCAAAGAAATTGTAGTGCCCCGTGCACGAGAAATGGTATCTAACTTATAAAATAAAACTATTCTTGAATCCTCGAGTAGCAATGTACTACACCGCAAGCACTTACAGAGGAAGTTGAAATAACCACGATGAAAGTTTTTATAATAATATGAATCAAGCTAAATACGTTAAAGGTATACCTTTAACGTCGTACTTGTGCGAAATTACATCTAATAAAGATTGATTTCGATAACCATTTCAAAAGGAAAGTTCACGAAAATAAGTTATATAACGTTGTGATGAAATAATGTCATCATAACTGATATTGATTTTTGTATATGTAAACTTCACAACAAATTAAATAAGACAGATTCATTGCTGAAAGCTAAAGTTATTTCTTGAGATGTATAAGTTCTTCCTGAAAGCTGTTAGAAGGCGGCTAACTGTCTTCAGTTCTGCCTTCAAAACAGACAGTGATTGACGTAATCATTACTCAATGACTTAGCATCAGTGATTTAAACATGGAAGACCTAGATCTTCCAAGACTATTCTTATCACTTTTTTAAGATCAATTCCACTTTTTATTACACATCGAAAATGTTCCGAGCCATTTGAAATAATGTACAGATCACCATTAGGTTTTTTATCTTTAGCTCTGAAATCATCGATAATGTGTTGCGGAATGCACGCGTTTCCATACTTAAACTGTACAGCAACATCTTCAAAAGACACCTCTCCGTTGCGAACACGAGTTTTCAATATGAGTTGTTCATCAGCAGCAAGCTGTATTTCCCCGTCCAACGAAAGTTCTTTTAAATTTGGGTCAGTATAACACTCAATTTCGCCATCACTGCGCTTAATGACTATCACTCCAATCAAAGGAGTGTTGCGGAGTTTTTTGAGCAGCCTCTCTTGTATGTCATCGGGAACTTTAAATTCGGGGTCCCATATTTGAAGGTCGCCTATCTGATCAGGTACCTTTCCATAACGAGCGAAACCTCTCAGTAAAACAGTGGGAGGAGATTTAACTGAGAATTGTGTCGCCCACACCAGCTGTTGGGTATTTTCAAAATGGATACTTTTATCTTCTGGAAAATTCCTTTGTGAATAATCTAGATCTCCTTGTGCGTCTCTCTGATTACTAAAAGAAGGATCCGACGACTCCCTGCCTCTGCTGCGCTCAGAGCTACAGTCGCCACCACGGTGTGAATCAGTCTGCCTTTCTTCAACCGTTGTCAATTCAGAAGTGGCTTCATCATTACGAGGAGGACTTTTGGGTTTCTGCGGATTTTTCAATTCGGGAGATTTTGCTTGAGATGGAAGTTCTGGTATTGATGGTTGGTTTGTAGATGGCGACTGATGATGGAACATTTGTCCTTTCTTGTTTGGATCAAAGTGATGCAGCAGAGCTTCTTCGTGAATTGCTCGATGTTGTTTGTTCCAGGAAAAGATGAAGCTCTTTCTTCCATCAAGATACTCTATGCTGAATTGTGAGGAAACTTTTCTCTTCGCCCAACGTGAAATAACCTCTCGATTCTCTTCGTCGTCGCTCTCGTAATTGACATCTCCTCCGATAACGATGACGACATCTCCTCCTGTAGACAAACGAAATTCAAATGTAAAGAAGCGTAACAATATTATCCTGTGAAATGTAATTTCCAATATTTTGTTGCTGATTATTGGCCTTCCAGACCTCTTCGTCACTATTTAAAATTTCATCCTTTTTTTTGCAACCGTGGCATTAACGCTATTAATACATAACATATCTACCAGAGGGTAAGAAAAATGCAACATATAATGAAGAGAAAAACATTTTCTCTTTGTTCAAAAAAAGAATCTAATATTAGGTTCGCCCTCTGTTACGTAAACAATTAAAAAAAATAATCTTAGCTATTTTACTGTCCCTTAAAATCGAGCAATAAAACGGCAAGGGAGTTTCAGGTGGCTTAAGAGAGGCATTTTAAATCTATTGTCGGTTGAAATGATAACTGCTGACTAGAGGTTTGCTTTGTCAGAGTTGAATTCTTTCTCCAATCTATTTAAGTTTCTTGAAGATACCCTGACAGCTTTGGAAGACTCAATTATTATTCAATGAATTGATCCTTGGAATAACATTTATCATTGCAGGCCAATAACTTTAATATTCCTTAGGCCATAATACATAAAAGTCCTTAAGCAACAATATCTAAAGCATCAGAACTTTTAAGCATAGATCAATCTCTATTTCCAATACTGCTCGTTTTTCCCTGAAATTTAATGCTAGTTTAAATCTTTTGTTTAATCCGGCAGCAACCTGTAAGTTTATCTTTATCAATAATTACTCAACTTGAACGAGTTGTATCCAGATAAAAAATGCAAATAATTTGCCGTGTTTCCGAACCGAGGAAGAGGAATGGTTTTAGACCTTAAGCGACTGAAATTTCAAAAGGCAAGATCAACCCCCTTTAGCCAAAAAGCCTTCGCCTTAAGAAACAAAACAGAAGCTTCAGACAGCAAACTCACTCCGAGTATTTAAGACTAACGCAGCTGCATAAAACAAGTCTTCACATTTTGCCACTAAGGGGAACAACCGTCGACCTTAATCTATGCTTATTTACTTTCGCTTTCACGTCTAATTAGCTTTTGTTTAGGAGGTTTCATGTCTAATGAGCTATTGTTTGGGAAATATAGAAAAGGTTTGCGCTAAGTCGCCACTACCATTCTCGAAGATAGCCCAGCTTGCCCAAAATGCGTGATTAAGAGCAATGAGATGCGTTCGAAAAAATTACTGTGATTAAAATACTTCCGCTTCTTACCCGTCGCTTGTAGTAAAGCTCTGTATATCTTGGCGTAACCAATTCCAGCGTTGTCTTCGTTGATCGAGAGTCGAGATTCACTCGCATGAACCACGAAGAAGGCCATATCCATCTCTTGGGTTCGGATTTTGTCGACCATTTCAGACATTTGAGCAAGTCTGAATGAATGCTTCTCTACAGGCTCAACATGGATGCTTAATTTCTCCGACAATTTCTTCTTCGTTTCCTCGAGCAATTTCTCAACGGGCTCTAGCTCGTATGTGTTGTCACAGTTAAAAATATGAACTCGCTTTTTCGACTGCAACATCGTCTCTGTGTAGAACACAACTACTGGTGAAACTCTGGCAGATTTCATATGAATGTCCAAATTCGAAGTGAAGAATGGAACTGCGCAATATTTCCGAGAAAGCCTGTCACACAAATCCCCCCCAAAAAGTCACGCAACAATGCAGTCTCATAACGGGTCGTAACACATTACTTGTCGCAGATGATAATAAAAGACAGTCGAAAACTACACGAGGATGCTGGTAGTGATTGGAAGATTGAAGAATTATTAGGAGATCGTACGCTTAAAAATGCCATAAAAAAGAAAAGGTATGCTACCAGTTCAGTAAGCATACACAACTTTATTGATGAACTCAACACATAACAAAATACAGGGCAATGTAAAATTTCATTCAAAAGTAAGTCAAAATCACACACCATGAAAAGTTCCCAGGTTTACTTTAATGTACCAGGTGAAACAGTGAAATAAGCTGTGGTACACTTAAAAAGTTTCACCCTTTTTATTTTTCATATATTTTTGTAGTAAAGTTTGTTTGACGCAAATTTTATGCTTTTGTAGTAATAATTTTTCAAAATTTGAAAGTGGGAATTAAATTGATAAAAAAAATTTTGTAATGTAATGTAAGCACTTGGGGTGTCTGGAGGTTAGGGACCTCCCTTCCTTTCTCCTAGATCCGCCATTGATGAATAAAGGAACAATGTAATGTGGGCTAAGTAACACAAATGGTTAGGTACCTGTTTAGTTTTAAATAAGTTCACTTGATTGTCTGGTTCACTGCAGTGGCGGATCTAGGGAAGGGGCCCGGAGGCCCCTCCCCCCCTCCCCTTATTGGCGATAATTTTGAGGCCTGAAGGGCAGGAAAATTTTTTAATGCCCCACCTTAATTTTAAGGCCTGGAGGGAGGGAAAATTCTTCAGGCCCCCAGCTTAGAATGAGGTCAGGATCTGCCACTGCACTGTATATGTTTATTTCTAAGTTGCAATATAATACTCTTTAAGCAGTTTAATGGGATATCAGATAATGATATCTGACACTCTGTTGTTTTGACGAAGCTGCTTATAGGAAGATTAAAGGAAGTCAAATTGGGAATGTTTTTATGCTGCATTGATTGCAAGATCACCTGAGCATATAACTAGTCTTGCAAACGCTTGAACGAGTGGTTATGATGCATTTGTTACAAATTACAGTTTTGCAATAGGTTGTGATTCACTGATGATCATAGATGTACTGTAAAAGTAAATATTATTATTGAGGCAAGAACTGTGAAATTACTTGGGTTGTTTTGTCTGCTAGAATTTTTCTATCACCTGCTCGCAACACGATCTTCTTTAAATCTTGTAGTGAGATGTCAGATAATGACAAGTTGACAAAATAATTTTGTATTGCACACACTTGAAAGAGTAGTTATGTTGCAATTGGTACATGTTACAGTTTCTTCTCCTAGTTGTGTCTCAGTAATGCTCACGTTTCATACTAAGCAACTCGCACATCATTTGATATGGACACCGATGCAGCGGCCTTCTATTGTGTCGTCTGTTATTTCTGGGCTAATCAAATCGATGCAGGGTAGATCATCAATTTCTTTAAGGTCAGTGGCTTCAGTAGTATTTAAATACTTGACATCATCAAAAAACCCAACTTTTAATGTTTGAAATGGTATGTTTTCCCTGCATGAACTTTGTCAATTTGGTTTCCCACAAGACCAGTTTTACTGAGTTAGTTTCATCAGCTATAAGACAATAAGTTTTACATTTGGCTTTCTCCTGCTTTTTGAGGACCTTGGCCTTGATATCTAAAGTTTCATACAAATCTTTTCCAAGTGCTTCAGTATGGTGCATAACTGGTTGCTGAAGGCTTCACTGAAAAGAATATGAGAGAGAAGTTGGACTGTCATTTTTGCATACTTTGGAATAGTATATTATTCTTCTTGTGTGTGGAACCTTTCTGATGGTGTAGGTTTTACTCCACTGATCTTTACTGGTAACTTATTTAGGTATGCCTGTTTTGTTCGCTTTTGAGGTGAATAAGACAGTACGCACTACTTCTTCTAGATCTTTTCCTGTTTGAATGCGACAATTTAAGTAGTTGGTTGTGAAATTTCTTGCTGTTTATACCTCTGTTAACAAGTGCACATGTCCCTCAATAGATTCCTCTAAGAAAAAAATTTGGAAAACAAGTAGTAATTTCCTGCTCATTGAGTTTTGTAGAAGATCTTGTATTAACACTGATCTATTCAGAAACCACTTCTTATTAAGCGCCAGTTAACAAATTCCTGAAATAATTGACATAGTGCTACTGTAAATAAAATTGATAAAAAATGGCCATTTCTATATTAATAAGTGTCGACAACCACTATTTAGCTGTCCTGATGAGCATTGCTCTATTGTTTTTACTCCTCTTTAGCAGCCAGCAAGATTGTAATTTGAAAAGTTTGGCTATCCTTTTTTTTCTTAACAAACTTCGATAAGAGCCTAAAATTAGAAGTGATGAATGATAAAATAATTCAAAGACAAGTTTTTTAAATAACCTAACCTTTCTAGATGGGTTATTTTATTTTTCTTTCTGAAAAATTCCTTTCGAGGAGGGTCATAAGGGTTATTAGCCGCTGACACAAGCAGTGATTGCAGTTGTTGTGTAGATGAGAATGTGTGTAAAGTCATGTGAACTGGAAATAAAATGTTCAAAAAACAATTGTCCTTCTGTCTGAAATCTGTTTGATGGCATATATATGGATTTTTCAATAATGTCTGTGTATGCAATCAATTGCATTAGTTTTCAATGTTTCATGATTTTGGAATATCATGGAGCGGGTCTTTTGAGCCTCCTTGCACCAGGTATATCTCCTTGAGCTATCAACATCGGTTACATGGACACTTGTAATTTCTTTTATGGTGGTTGCTTAATAGGGTTAATTACTGTATGTGCATGTTAACTGTATATAGGTTTATTTTTTTTTACCTGACTCTTTACTTTTGCTAGTCTTTGTTGTTGTTGAGGAACCTTTACTAAAAAAAAAGAAAAATAACAGATAATTAAACTTTGAGTGCAATTGAATGTACTTGTAATTGATAGTGATATAATTAGCTGTAATGGCAATAAGTATTTAAAGATTGATAGGGTCTTACTAGGATACAAAAACTTACCTTGAGTTTGATGTCATGTAACATGACAAAAGTAACACAATTGAGATTTTTTATATTTGCACTAAAATACAGTACTTTGTGATGCAAATTATTTTCTTTATGTATGTGCAATGTTTATGACCACGCACATCTTTTTCGTTAGTTAAACACAAAAATTACTTTGAGGTAAGCTCATGATAAAAAAAAATAAAGTTATGCTCACTTATGTTCATATGGGTGGTGTACCAATGTATGGAGACATTAGATAAATGGAATGCAATGCATGCAGGAGCGATGACGTTACAAAATAGTGTTTCAAGGTTTCAGTTAAATATACTGTATCCTCATGTATTTGCCACTGTTGTTCAGCAATGGTGTTTTATTTATTAACTGATTATGAGGAGCCCTGTTGGCTTGGATTTTATTTTATTTGAATTTTTTGATTTCCTGGTATATATGTTGTGGCTGACAAACATTACAAAATATTGTAATACGAGACAAGATACAAGGTTTTTATTTTACTCTAAAAGTAAAATTGTACAACAGACCTACAAAGTAGAAAACAATTTTGCAAACTTTACAGCTGTTCTTATGGGAGGGTGACTTGCACTTTTCATTTGCATATAAAGAAGGACTTGTATTTTGCACCAAAAATAAAAAGAAGTAATGTTTTTTAGGAGGTCCAGTGATTGGGAAATTTAAGAAATTAAGTTATGAAAGGAAACTCGGTTTGTACTTCTCACTATTAACAAGTCTTGTTAAAATATATTTTCAGATCAGAGTTTCAAATAAAGCAAATTGAAGAAGTCATTTAAAAGGTGTTTTTTCTCAAAGGGAACAGTGACCACCTCTGTGTGCGGATGATCCATAAATATTGGAACTCTTACAAAAATGTTTTGTAAGAATAAAAACAGCAAAACAAATAGCAGCAATCAGTCACGAAAAAAAAACCAGTAACAACAATCATGAAAAGAGAAAGATTAATTTGGTGTTGAATTTGTTTATCTAAGGCATTAAATTTCTACTAAAAATAATCTGAAAAAAAATGTCTGTGACACTGTGTTTGAGGCAACTGAACTTGACTTTTCCAAGGCTCTCTAACACAGGCAACCAGTAATTTAGATTAGGGAAGTAACCTATATTCACATCTAACAAAGTTCTTTAAGTGTAGATAATCAATGTAATTATTGTTACACATGTGGAAGTTGTGTACCAAGGATCAGCTGATGAATGTTTGATGATTTTGGTACGTCTGTGAACATGAGACATTTTGCATCAAAATAAAAACTATTATGATCATGGAATTCAAAAGTCCCTTGAGGTTAGAAAGCAAATCTGTGATATGATTACATTGGAGTAATTGGCAATTTGCATCGAAAACTTAGTTGGAATACTAATTTTCACGATCTTTAGGTTATTAACATATACATGTATGAATATCTCTCAGTAAATTTTGTATAGCTTACCTTTTATGAAGCCAAAGTTTTATATAAGCCTCTAAAATTACTCCTTGTCTTAAAACCTTCACATTCAAGGTAGTGAGAATTTCTTGGAATTTATTTGGACTTCAGGGTATTTAAATTGCCTCAAATTCAATTCCCAGAAATTCCCAAGAATTCCACCCCTCTTAGTGTATAGCTGAGAATTCCTAAGAATTCCAAGTCCTCACAAAACTGGAGTCTTCCTTTCCCAGAAATTCCCATTATTTGAATTTGCCTATTATCTAGTTCCAATAAGTCAGCATCGTCTAATGGCTTTTCACAAGTGATTATTTTATCCAATAAATGAAGTCACTTTGCTATCACTACCTTCCCCAAATACAAGTGCATTTTCTATCTATATGATCATGTGAATGTGAGGAGAACCTCTTTGTTGATATTCAACTCTATAAACCAGTCAGAGATTTTTCCCAATGGCTCCCCTTGCGAAATGGCTTTTGGAATTCCTAGGAATTCAGGTGTGAATTTTCACAGTAAATTCAGACTGGGAATTCCTAGGAATTCCTAGGAATTCCCAACCATAACAACTCTGGTTCTAAAAACCTAGAAATTCCTAGAAATTC